GACACATAACTTGCCAAATAATAATTATAATATATGCGATGACGCTTATATGAGTAATACCTCTTTTTTATCCATTCAAGATGGTAGTGGTATGTATTTTTTTAAAGAATTGGAAATTATCATTATTACAGATAGATGCCCGGGAAAAAATGGATTAAATCTAACTAGATCTAATTTAAATCTAACAAGATAAAAAAATGGAAAACTAGATCTAATTAGATCCAAATTATATCTAAATAGATATAAAGTAGATCTAAATAGATATAAGTAAATCTATGTAAATTTACACTTTATTTATCATTAGATCTACTTTAGATCTACTCAGATCTACTATATTAGATCTATTCAGATATACTTAGTTCTGTTTAGATCTGCTTAGATCTAATATAATAAATCTGAGTAAATCTACTATAAATCTAAAATAGATATACTGATAAATAAAGTGTAAATTTACATAGATCTATTTATATCTGTTTAGATCAACTTTATATCTATTTAGGTCTAATTAGATCTATTTTTCCATTTTTTTATCTTGTTAGATTTAAATTAGATCTATTTAGATGTAATCCATTTTTTCCCGGGTGGAAACGAAATATTTTAAAAATTAACATTTTTTTCTTTAGATAATGCAAAGTATTTCAAAGAAATTATTCGCCAGCAAAGTTTCTTTAAAACTTAATTGTGGCAGATTGCAGACGATTTAAGAGAAGTAAAAAATGTCATAATGACCAATAATCTGATGCAAAATCAAGACAATGATCAGCAACAAAATAAAAGATCGATTTATTCTTCTTTTGAGCTACCATTGAGAACAGTGAAAGATATTGAAGAAGCTGTAGAACAATTTTTAGAAATTGAAGATAACTTTAAATGTTCGGTAATACATATGAATGCTCAAAATTAATTTTGTAAAATCTTAATAACTATTGTAAAGTAATATATGAATTTTTGTTTCAGACNACAGAAACATGTACAGTAGGAGGCACATCTCCTTATAATTTTATACATCGAAATTTGTGCCGCTTGGTTATCAATGAACTTGCACAATACAACTGGATAGGTGCAAAACAAAAAAGAAACTTTTGTAATCTTCGAATTGCCAATATGTTAGTAGGTAAATACATTAATTAATGTAATTTTTGTAGTACTAATATATATTAATTAAATATATTTATTATTAATTATATACATTAATTATATAAATTTAGTGGTTATATATATTTAAGTATACCCAGACAGCACACAACATACATAGGACGTCCAAATTTAGGTCTTATTTAGTCCAAACGTCCATGAACATTATATGTATGTTTTAAAAATGTACATTATTGGACGTACTAAGTATATTTACATTTAGATGTTTTAAAAATATCCATATTATAGATGTTTTATTTTGTCATGCAACGCAATATTCTTTTGTAGAACT